TAACGTAAACTTGGGTGTGTGTGTGAGTGTCCGGACAAATCTTGTCAGCGCGATAACTTGAGAAATACTTTACATATGAACTTCAAATTTGGTTTGTGTATTGTCCTAGGCAATCCTAAGAAGCGTTTTGTATTTTGGGCCAAAAGGTCAAGGGTCAAGGTCACAGTGGCTAATACAAAAGAAATTTTGTCAGCGTGATAACTTGAGATATACTTTACATATGAACTTCACATTTGGTTTGTGGCTTGTCCTTGGCAATCCTAAGAAGCTTATCGCATTTGGGGCCAAAAGGTCAAGGGTCAAGGTCACAGTGACTAAAACAAAGAAATTTTGTCAGCGCGATAACTTGAGAAATACTTTACATATGAACTTCAAATTTGGTTTGTGTATTGTTCTTGGTAATCCTAAGAAGCCTATTGCATTTGAAATCTTGTATAGAAATCTTGTATTTATTCTGAGATCACAGGGATTAGCGATTAATTCATATAAAACCTACAGAAGACACTAATGCTGTCAATGAACGTTCCATGTGACCAAGGTACATGTAAGTTGATGTTAAAAGAGTGGTGTTATGTCATGGGAACGGTCACGGTTGCGGGGCATTTGTGTTTGTAAACACACCTGACTTGTTTTTTTAGATTTTGAGCACTTTTGCTGCTTCAAACGAACAAAATGCACGAATTACAAATGTTAGACAGTACCTTTAACGGTGAAAGTATTCCAGTAAATGTTCCGTCACAAGAAAATTGTATTTTTGTACAATAGCTCGCACAAAATGAACACTTGCATCATGAGGGAATATATTTCATATAGGACACAAAAACAACCATTAGTGGAACACAAATATGCAGTAAGCTTAATTGCTTTAATTAACTCTAAATGGATATTAGAATGACATAAAATGCGGCAATCGTACAAATGCGGCAATCGTACCAATGATACTAGAATGACATAAAATGCGGCAATCGTACCAATGCTTTACTACTTACTAATATATTCATTGCAGATTCAGCATTTCTTTTCAAAATTTTTATAGACACAAATCTTAACAACGGCTATGTAGTAACTATGTGTAACAGTCGTTAAAACCAACGGAACAGTGTGTTGTTACTATAACATTTTACTTGCACCAAGACATCTAATATATCGTCACCGTTTTCACGAAAAGCCACATACGACATTTATATATATTATGTTGATTTTGAAGAAAAGAATTTCCGAGATAATCGCAAAAGAAGTTTCCCATATTTTTGAACTGCAAGAAATACTGCTTTGCAACAACTATGTGCAGCAAGAAAACCATCACACGATTCTACGAGAGCTGAATTTTAACATGAACCCGGTAATAAGACTTAATACAGTAGTTAATTGGTGAAAATCAATTAGTAAAGATATGTGGCTCTTCGTGAAAACGCAAATTCAGGTTTCCGACATATTTGCCCTTGCTGTTCAACGTGTATTTCAAAAGGCGCACGTGAGTACGCGCGCGCAGCTGACAATGTAACAAAGATGTGTGACTTCGCGAAAACGGAAATCTCATTTGACCTTCTTGTACGTATTTCCATGCAAATGGGTTTTGTTTTCGTTCAAAGGGCCAAAATGTATGAGGCTCTTCGTGAAAACACAAAATGCATTTATCGAGATTTCTGCCCCTTGCAACATTAATGTAACCTGGAAATTAATAATGTTTTCCTTACAGAAACATGTCAAAATGGTTAAGTACATTGTTTTAATGCAAATTATTGAAAAAATCGAAATCGGAAAAAATGTCAAGTGTTTATCTCTTACGATCAATTTACAATGCATCACCCACATAATAACACCATATCCAACGCTTATAAGCACCTAGGCGCTTATAGGCACATTACACAGCACAACTATCAATATTTTAAGAACATCCACTTATAACTTCTTTTAAAATTGAAGAAAAAAATAATCACATTTGTTAGCAATCAAAAATCACAATGGAGATAATTCAAGAAAATCTATGTACAATGCGGTATTATTATCGCAAATTAAGGTTTCCAGCTATTTAAAACTTTAAATTTTGACTGTGGGGTATAAGATAAACTTCATGTCAAATAGCATGGTTCAACGTAGACGAGAGGAAACCATATACCCCGGGACAAATGTGGGTGCTCATGGTCTGCATATGCCAGACCTAAATTTAAAATTGTATGGCAAAAGACGAAATCTATTAAACATAATACACTATATCGACTTTGCTGGGCAAAAGGGAATATTCTAATGGGTGGATTCCAGTGATAACAATTTGAAAATAGCCGGAAATACCAATTTTAGGACAACCTGCAGTAATGGTTCTGAAACATGAATCTACACGGATGGAATTTTGCGTCCATCTTATAATAGTTTATGCGGTACCCGCTGCTATGTACATCAGATTCGAACCGGCCAACCGATCCCGTTAGCTCGGTGGTCGAGTGGTAAGACATCTGCACTAGAAAGCAGGAGGTCGTGGGTTCGAGTCCCACCCGAGTGATTTTTTCCAACTTTCACTCGGGAGGTAACACACTGAGTATACAGTGTTTAAAAAACGTCGGTGAAGGGCAAAACCCAATTTGATTTATATCACCCCGACGCAAAATTCCATCTTATAATAGTTTATGCGGTACCCGCTGCTATGTACATCAGATTCGAACCGGCCAACCGATCCCGTTAGCTCGGTGGTCGAGTGGTAAGACATCTGCACTAGAAAGCAGGAGGTCGTGGGTTCGAGTCCCACCCGAGTGATTTTTTCCAACTTTCACTCGGGAGGTAACACACTGAGTATACAGTGTTTAAAAAACGTCGGTGAAGGGCAAAACCCAATTTGATTTATATCACCCCGACGCAAAATTCCATCTTATAATAGTTTATGCGGTACCCGCTGCTATGTACATCAGATTCGAACCGGCCAACCGATCCCGTTAGCTCGGTGGTCGAGTGGTAAGACATCTGCACTAGAAAGCAGGAGGTCGTGGGTTTGAGTCCCACCCGAGTGATTTTTTCCAACTTTCACTCGGGAGGTAACACACTGAGTATACAGTGTTTAAAAAACGTCGGTGAAGGGCAAAACCCAATTTGATTTATATCACCCCGACGCAAAATTCCATCTTATAATAGATCTTTTCTTGTTAACATTGACAAATTTAAAATAGGTCTCCGATTCATAGCCAGATAGCTCTATTGTATTAGCATGTAACTTTGTAGTTAGTACATAATTAAAACATCTTTGACCAGGATGATTGAATGACAAATTATATCTACATAAATATTTTTTTTTCATTTTGTGACCAAAACAGTTCAGTTAAAACAGAGGATTTCATGCAAAAATAAATACATGCCATATAATGAGGCTTGCTACTAATTACAACTATTCGATACAATTATATTAATTTTAATCTATAGTTCTCCAATTGTCATTAGGAGAACATTATAAAGCTTTAGATGATAAACTCATAGTAAATTCATAAAACATTTAACTATGCTTAAAAAGCGAAACGGCTTCATCATGACGTTCGTAACAATCTTAAGATGAAATCTGCGCTGATTAACACGAGCGGGATGAATGTACAAATCTACATGTACTATTCCTTCTTATAATACTACATGTACTAGTTTACTAGTATTCAATTAAGTATAAGCCGGCACTTTGAAGCATAACCACATGACTGGACTTATCACGATTTCCGAGATTTCACTGTACATCACACATGCAATGCAATGATACTTGATACAATAACCGAACTCGGTATTTTATTTTCGAACATACTACGGGTGAAAGGTTTTTCAAAATAAAAGGTTATTGCTTAGTTTAAAATATGTGGTAATCAAACAAATTAAATGCCGAAAAGTCCCACAAAGATCACAAATGATTCGTTGTCTCGGAGATAGATGTTGATTTGTGTATGCCAATTGCATTTCATCTGCAGCTATACAACCCATTTAGACTAATAACGAATTGGCTTACTTTACAACTTGCTTATCAACGGTCAATGCATCATTTTTTCAACTTCAATGTGAACACATTTTATTCAATGTTATCTATCAAATATGTCTCCGATAAGTACTGGTGAAAAAAAGTGTTGATATCTTTAAAGAATATAGAATCATTTGCATTTATCACAAGAGTAACCTACCAAATTATCACATAGGTTACTTGTATTAAATATCGTACTGTTACTACATCGTGAAATAATTCCGTATTGGTGAAAAGGTTGTCCATGGTCTGTGGTTTTCAACGTTTTCTCTAAAAGTGCAATATCTACTATACCGAAACTCCAACAGCTTCGGTTTGAATATTGCCCTTGGATTCTAAATGGTGATATTACTTGAAAAGAACAAAATGTCTGAAGAGCAAATGATCCTAAATGCATTTAAGTCATAATTTAGCATTACCTAATACGTACTTTATCAATTTCCAAGAAATGATAGGTTAAAACAGTTCCATTGAAACTTTTGTTGGCCGTCGTACAGTATTACCTATATAACTAATATTACAGGCACAATACAAAATCGCCCCCTCGCGAAATCCCATCAATTTGTAAAATTAAAATGAATGTAAAAGAACAATTTCCATTGCTTGGTTTGCAAATTATCATACGCCCCGATGAACATAACAAGGGCCATTTCGTATCAAGTGAAGTATGCACCTTTCAATTAGAATAAAAGTGTACCGTTAGTATCTAATTTAATCGGTGACATGAATTAGACCTTACACCGAAAGTATTGTACGCATCCCGAAATTGATGTAAGCGGAGAAAATTGGCGAAAAGAGATTTTTACTATCGAAAAAAAAAATAACTTGAATGTATGGAATCAACGTTTGGGAGACTTGTAAAGGATGCACTTTTATTTGTATTTCTGGCGGATTGTCGTCTAAATTACCAATTTTACTAAAATTAGTAAATTCTTTTTCATGACACTGATAAAGTGTGAAACAACTGAAATTGAGCAAAGCAATTTTCATTTTGATATTGTGTTGGTAAAGAATCATCGCTTTACTCAGTAACTCCTGTCAACTTCAATTTGCTTTGCACTCGTTTGATCTCATCCAGAGGGACGTTGGTGAGCTCACTCAACTCATGAGTGTACGTTGAAGAGCAATAGTCATCAGGCAAGGCATTGACGATTGTATTCAACCTCTCTTCATTAAATGGATCGGCGATAAGTTTTGGTTTATTGAGCCCAGAGCACAACACATTACAGGTATGGTTCTTAAAGAACTTCACGATACCAACTTTCCCCAAATCAGTAGGGCCGTACACACCGAGATCCGTGCCACTGCTGTGAACAGCTGGGGAAGTGAATATGTGCCCCGTGTCACCGCGTATCCCTTGCAAATCGCAAACCAAAATCTTGCCATCAGATGCGTGATACGTGTAATGACTATAGGCAGATGGCGAGGCACTTTTTTCGGGGGTTACGTACCCAGTGTTGCTTGAGAATTTGATAAAATTACCCTCAAGGTACCTCTCGACAGCAAGTGTCGCATTTTCGGGGATAACATTTGAGACCTTATCCCTTGTGCCATCCTGTATTCCTTTAACTTCTCTCTCAAACGGAAAACGCCATAGAAATTTGAAAGCGGCACGGGTGTTAACTCGGCTGAATTCAGGTTTAACAAACTCGATATGTTTGCTCGTTTGATACTCCTTGTTAAAAGACTGCGACATCTCATGTGCTTTGACATAAGCACGGTTGTCAGTTTTCCAGGCAAATTCTCCTCGGTCTTCATAGTCATACCATTCCTGTTTGTACACTTTAACCACGCAGCGCTTCCCTTCTATGCGGGAATCACCGTGAAGCGTTCCTCTGTAAGCCAGTCGGGAGGGCCCTTGAGCAAACCAGTCGTCTTGGAACTCCGCCCATGTAGACGAAATTCCGATCTCTTTAGAGGTGTTACTTTGGTAGCAACCCATTTTGCAATGTTCCAGTTAATTCTGAAACGAAATCAAAATACACCAGCGCTCTGAATAACTAGTCGAAAAGCTAGATACATCGTTTATGGGACAAGCAATATATCGTGCTTGATATCGGGCAGCTGATGTTTGGTAAAGGAAGTTGACGGCAAAGTTGGCAGTATGAAATCTGCCTGTATTTCTGAAAAAGCCTTCTCTAATTATGAGGCACATTTGTAAACAAAGGGTGTTTTTAGTGGCTTTGAAGAAACATCATGAATATGGACACAATTTTGTGTCGCATTTTTTTCCAGTAAGCTTTGCGGTCACTAAGTCTTGGGCGAGACTTGGTGTCTTAGGGTCACGTGATAACACGTAGAATGCTTTTGGAGAAGCCAACGCTTGTTTTGCTACGTGTTTAGGGTGTAGGGTTGGTGGAATATTGTATTATTTGCACTCCATACTTCTGTACTTGATGACATCACAGGTCACTGAGTGACCACTAGTCAGTTGTTACGTACATTATTTAACACCCTGTATGTCGAAAAATTAGTTTGATGGTTTTAAAGGGGCATTACGGCCTGAAATTCCCTAAAATTTCATGTTTTGGATTTTCTATTTTTACACTATTTGATCGGTTTTTTGAAAGGAAACTATCCTAATGTCTTACTCTTTCCGAAAAAAGAAGACCCAAAACTCAGTTGTTAACAACCGCAAAAGTGGAACCCCCAAAATGTGTTCTCACATGAATAAAACAAGAATAACACAAAAACACAAAAACGCCAAGTTTATAAAAGGATAGTTGTGTGGATGTTTATATCCTCCTTATAAATGTTCTTTCCGATTAACATCATTCCGCTCAAAACGGTTTTGTAACCTAATTGGGCGTATTCCAGGCGTAATATCCCTTTAACATCACAAATGCAAGAAAAGAGCTGTTAAAGTGTTTCTCTACTGTGGCGAGGAGGTCCATGACATTTTTGATACCTTAGTGAGTTGCAGATCCGACAATGAAAGTCCAAAGAGAGCACTAAATAAACGCCTTTATCCATAAACAAACGGAATTCGAGAGGTACACCTTCGGCCAGGCAAAGCCTGAACCAACGGAACTGCTGCACAATTCCACACGCGTCTCCAACGTCTAGCAAGCCACTGCATATCTAGGACAAAGACCTTTTAGTCAATTCACAAAGTTTTCAGACATGCTCTTCAAACAACTTCGCCGATATGCATTTCGTGAGCAATCTCTCTCACCTTTGTACACCTTCTCAAGACTGTTTGAACATTATGAGGCTGCAGACAGTCATGCTGCAAAAAAGGAACAGTCTCCAACTCCAACAACAGTGAACAAAGTCGAGCTAAAAGAGCCAAAGCAACGTTTCCATGTTCCTCTCGGCACATCGTGCCCACACTGCCGAACAACAGCCGAAGTACAACAAACACTGCCTTTTTATTTCTCAATGTGTGATATTTTCTACTATAAAATGTTCACCTAAATCGGCCGTACAAATACTATTGGAAGAAATGGCAGACGAGACATGTGTGAAACGATCACTATTGGAGATGACCCCGCGTGACGTCCCCCATCTAGCCTATAGCGTAAAATTCGATTCATTTTAAAATTACCTTTGAACGTATTAATAACAGAATCAAAAAGTGGGTGGGGGCTGGGCTGGGCTGAAGTTAATCTTTCTATGGGGGTGCCTTTCAAAGCGGACACTATCGAATAAAAGGTGGCACTCTTCGTGGCGGCACAATTAAAGACGTCAAAAATGGGCACTCGTGACAGACTTTTTTTGGAGGGGGCGAATGAGGGGGGGGGGGCGCGGCGACGTCGCCGTTTAATTGCATAACTACAAAAGTAACCAACATTTAACATGAAAAACTCACCTTTTTCCAACAACGTTCGCTTGAATTTTGGACAGTATGCAGGCTCGTAATTCCTCAGGAAAACTGTTTCAATTGTGTGTATATATTGGTCTAAAGTTAAGGCTGTTCTAGGCCTCCGCTGATTCCAAATATGCAGTCTACCTCGCGGTGATGCAAATATATCGGTCTATTAACAGAACACTGGGAAAACCCGGGATGTGCAATGTTGCTCATAGAGTGCACCACTTTCTTTTAAAGGGGTGATTTTTGAACAGATCAATGTGACTCCGAGCAGTTCGGTGCATTGAAAAGGACTGCGTTGCATTGGGACATTTGGGCTTTGTACAACATTGTTTTCATATTGAAATACATCTTGATAAAAAAAACACAAGTAAAATGAAGATAAGTGGTGCATGCGTACCCAAACATAAGTCTTAGAAAAGTAATTCGCAATGATGGTTTAGACCTACACCCATTGTAAACAGGTGGAAAGCTTGTTTGTGGTGTTGAATAGGGAAGGTTGTTATGTGGATGGGTCTAGAGACGCGTTTTCGATTGCGTTATTAGTCTCCACCCACCATCCAAAATGGTATTTTCTGGTTTTTACCAGTCTTTATTAATAGAACGCTATAAAAGCAACCGAGCTGCCGATCTCCGCACAAAAACTCAAGATAGAAGGTTGCATTCGAAATCAACCTTTGCTGAACACCGTGGTACTCTTCTCGTTAGTGTGAGGTATTTTTCGTTTTTATAACATCGGGGCGACAATAGCCTACACCTTAAAAAAAGAAAAGTCAACTCCAGCAAACAGATTCTGGAAGAGACGTAAGTTTTATTTCTGTATTCGTCAATAATTTTAAAACTATAGGCTAAGTGAGCGGTTACAATGTATTTATTTCAGTGAGAGCAGATTTCAAAATGATCTGTTAGCCAGAAGAAACGGAACCGCGGGGTGACTTTTATATTGTCACAATAAGGGATTGTATGGTAAAGTAATAGCATTCCATTTTGATAGGAGTTTTGAAGTACTGGTGCTGAGCGTAAACAATAATGCTGTAGCTTTACTGTCTCGAAACTGAAGCCAGACTGCCCCTTAATTATGCTCACCATCTCGCTTCTAATACAACTACAAGACAGAATGTTAATTGCAAGAAATCCCAATAATTAACATTGTTGACTTGACATGATTTATTTTTATACATTGCTCTTCAATGCCGATCGCCTCCTTAATTGATGCACATGCTACCTCCTCTTCCATGCCGACAGGATAACTCAGTGTGTCCATTACTTTTTAGCTGCGGGATGGCAGCTCAACAAATCATCGACGCAAGAGTAATAATTATACCTGGATCCAGTTTTTGCGCGTTCAATAATTCAATCAGTCTAAACTGTCCTTTTGACTTCACCTATATTCAGGTGTATAACTAATCCAAGTTTGTGTGAATGCAAAGTTTCAACCCAATCGGACGCATACATGTAATTGTGGAGATATTTGGCTAGAAATGATGCAAAGTTAGAGCGCCCTCACATGACAGCTAAGGACGTCACGATGATTTCAGCTATATTATCAAATACATGTAGGACAGATCCCAATATGAGAGAATGCCAAGTTTCAATCCAATCGGACCCATACTTGCGGAGATATGGGGCTGCACATCATGTAAAGTTAGGGCGCCCTCACATGAGAACCGATGATGTCACAATGACGGCACTTATATTTTCATATACTACAGGGCTGCAAAGAATACAAAGCTAGGTCGCCCTCACATGACACCTGATGACGTCAACATGACGACAACCTTCTAAGACCATCTGGGGCTGGTGATATGCGTGTCTGCCAAGTCTGAAGTCAATCAGATCTATGAAAGTACCAAAATGTACTAATTGAAGGAAAACGTGTACAAAACCTATGGAGAAAAAAAATGCACCTTTAATGTTACGTAACTTGACACTTGATGACGTCATGATGACGAATTTCTTCTAGGACCACCTGTGGATGGTGATCTAAGTGTGAGACAAGTCTGTCGTTGATGCAATTTAAGAAAGTACCAAAGTGCCCTTCTACAAGAAAAAAACGTGTACAAACCCTATGGAGAAGAGTCTGAAAGAGAACAAGAAAAAAAAGGAAAAAAAAATTAACGAAAACAAGAGCTGTTTCGGCGGAAACCGAAACAGCTAAAAAATCAATCCATTGTAGCGTAAACCAAACCCTTGGTTTTTTTTAAGATTTAGTGAATAAACAAGATAGGAACATTTTTCCATCATAAATTAATATCTCACACTGGACATGATGTGTTCTTTAAACGCATAGTTGTCCTGATATTCCTGCCTGCACATTTACTTTTTTTTTCTTTTCTTTTTTTAGCCTTTTTTAGTCTTGTGCTCCATGTTTTTTTTTTTTAAATATGTAACACAATTTAGTGAGCCAGCAGTGCAGTTAATAGAATATTATCGCCCACCAGAAAAACAAACGCCAAATATGAAACCTCAAGGAATAATAATCATGCCAATGTAAGTTTCTCAAAAGCGTTCTGATCAAAATACATAATGCTCACATTTATAATGATAACCATTGTACATGTATCTTTCCTTATGTAGGATTTGCATGGATTATGAGTAGCTGGGTTAAATGACGTGACAAAAACCATATTGCTTTCGGATGTGCATTGTTTGTTTGTTTTCGATCTTCTGCTTTGACCTTGAGACAGTCCCAAGCTCCGACAACCAAAACAAATTTATCTTTATTGATGTAAGGCAAGAGTTCCATCATGTGTTCATTTTCTAGGTTACTTTAGGTTTGGAAAATTAAAAATATGCAAATACAAAAATATTGTCAGCGAAATACAAGCCTGTACTCTTATTGTAAAATTAAAAGTAAAGGGTGCTATTCCTTTAGCAACAAGCTTGGTTATTCATAAAAGCAATATGGAGCATAAGACAACAAGAACAATGAGCTATTCTACAGGCCCGAATATCAGGACAACTATGCAGTTAAAGAACACACAGGCCTATGTCCAGTTTGATGATTGAATTACTACTTAATTACTTACTGAAAATGAGGTATCACTACTAATAGGTCAATAGTAAGCGGAAACCTTGCGGGACTTCTGAAAGAATTCAATTGTAGAAAAAAAAAACATGCATAAGGGTCA